TTTTAAGAAGTAATATATGTGCGTTGGGGTTGAAAATCCACATCGATATATCCGAAATATCGATACATGCGATATCGATATATGCGAGGATGCTTCCGTTAGGTTATAATGGAAGTTGGCAGGGACCAAGACAAACGTATCGATATAACCGATATATCATTACAAGCGATATCGATACAGTTGGAGTTTACTGTATATTTTTTTTTAAAAAAAAATCTTGATATTAATTGTACATACAATATTCATGTTTGTTACGAGACATTCTATGTTGCAACTCTTACTAACATATTTAGATGTTAAAACATTTCATTTCTATTTATTGTCAGGTTACCATTAAAATTATTTCGATTACATTTCAAAAAGGAGATTAGGGAAAGAATGACAAATATTGCCGCCAACAGTCTCCTTTGAAACAATAAATATGTCTCATTGTTATTCAAACATTTCAAGAGTGCAACAAACACGATCATAAATTGCAATATGAAAATAAACCAAGCTACGATTTATGTTTTTAACCAAATTGAATAAAAACATAAACTTCCTTTATAATAATTTCAAAAGGTTTTCGGATCAATAATCTTGTAGGATATAAAGTACTGGGTATGTTGCTGAGATAAAATACAAAGTACGTGCCATTTAATGTTTTTTTTTTACGGGACCTCTGTGGAAATTTATATCTGTAAATCTTTTAGAAACATTAAAGATAATATGAAATCAGACATGTAATAGCTGGCGAACAAAAGTCACGATCTACTGAGGAGGAAATAGAATAATGTATAACTGGGTTTTTAAATCTTGCCATTAGGAGAACAATGGGTAATATAGATTATTATTTTATAGATAAAAGGTAAAATTATACAGCTCATTAAATTAGGCAAAAGAAACATTGCAACTTTAAGATGGAAATGTTTATTTCAACGGTTGTATGCTAAAGTTCAATTCTCGTCTTCAAAAATTAAGAGTTTACCCTCTTATCATTTATTTTTATACAGATATCATTTTTAAGTACAAGAAAAATCTGACGCCTCATAGAGATGAAGCCAATGTGAAAATCTAAATTTGAAGAGGTTATATAGAAATGAAATATCTATCCATTCCGGTATATGCGGTAAGCTCGCCATTGTAGGCTTTCAATGTGTCAATGAATTTGTAAGCTAAGGTACAAGACTGAACATGTTTCTTATTATACGTGTATAAATATTTAATTCAATTTATCTATTTATTGATTTTGCTGCTTTTTAAATAGTAGCTATTGTTGATAAAGAGAAAACAAATAACCATAGTATATTTCTGTGACTGTCCTAGGTAACATTGGCATGATAAAAAACTCAGTTCGTATAAATTCTGTAGGAAAAACACAACAACCCCCCAAATTTTAATATGAAAACATGTCTTCATGTACTTATCAGGTTCAATAATATCCGCTGGTTTTAGTAAGATTAAAAAACTATTTCAAATAAAGTATGAATGTACTCTTTGTATTATGGAAATTTCTTTCAAAGTAATCTTCTCAAGATTGTTTGATATGAATTACAAATAGAATGACGAGAAAATATTACCGCCACTTATCTCCTTTAAAACACTGACTATTGGTGTACTATTTTATTTACAATGTAGAAGTATCAAATTAATGTATGTCATGGTTTGAAAATAAAGTAAAATGTGCTTTTTTACATCGAATACGTCTCGTAAACTACTTTTTCACTTGTCATTTGTTTATAAGACATAATATTTATTATGTATATTCATGTCTTTAATCATCATTGAATGAATACAGTTCATAGACAAAGTTGACAGACGATATAGAAGATAAAAAGTTTCAAAATTAATAATAAAATGGGTGATACAAAAAGTAAAGACAAATACATGCGAACAAAACAACTTTCGTATAATTATACTATAGTTCCTCTTTTAGAAACCTACTTCGTTTCACCAAGAGAGATCACCCTATTTCTGGCTAATCTTGAGAAAATTGTAAAAATTGATGACATATTTTTGATTAATGGTGTCTCTGCAAATCGAGTTATCCTGATGCGGTATGAGTACAGTTTCCATTTAATTCTAATATATGAGAGAAGAAATAATTAAACAATGTATAGCTTTTTCCTTCAAATAAATAGATGCAAATAACATGAAATTTCTCAGGCACCGTATAATCATCTTTGATAAATCCTATGTTACACGTTAAAGCTTCCTAAAATAGACTCGGATTGTATTTGGCAATGAAAAATTTCTAGGAATTGAATCTCTTTTCTTTAATAACACATTCTGACAATCTAATTACTGTAGTTAACAGATTACTACTTAGAAACTTCAACACACTATTCAGCTCTGTTCAATATCTCATTGCTTTTGTATGTAATACAAATGTCTCTACCTTAGATTTACATACTATATGGATACAATTCTTGACTCAAGTTTTTCAAAAGTGCATTGTTTTTAGTTTTAATAAAAGTTTAATTACGTTATATTAAATGACACTTATGGCAGTATGCAGATAACTGCGGTCTACAACATGGATAATAGTAACTTAGTTTCGTAGTGACTGAGATATAGAATGTAAAATAATGCCTAATTGATTATAGGAGACTGACATAGAGGTTTGTATCATGTGGTATCGTGCAGTGAAATGCAACCTAAAGGTGGAATGTGATAGCATGTGATAAATACTACTTTGTATTATTATATTGTTGCAAACTAGATTGCTTTTTTATATTTTTTAAAATCTTAGTTTAAATTGTTATGCTATCAAATTAATATAAAACAAATAGGTTACTTCTCATGCTTTACCTAAAATTGTATTACGTTACCGTTATTGTTACTGATCTCCTTTTGTTTAACATAGACATCTCAGAATTTTCCGAGCAATAAATAAGCAGGGTTTACCACAGGCGACTGTCTAATTGTGAAGATGCTTCCATTTTTTATTTTGTACTACCAAGTAAATCCAAATAATATATTTTGAGTAAAGGTGATTTGTCATAGAGAAATGAGATACAGATATACCTGGAAAATACCTTTCCGGATATTTGTAAAGGAATTAACTGTCTTATATTTTCAGATAAATGAAGTTCGTTATTTATTCAAAACATTGTCTTACAAGCAAAAAACTGAATGTGTCGAGTATGAATGTGACGTATTTAACCAGACTGGCAATGTTAAAGTTTTTTTTCGGAAATTTATGAATTATACGAACTCATTAGTTATATGTTCTATTAACATTAAATTTGATATCAATCGAAACCTAACTTTAACATATTGGCGTCATGGTCAATTCAAAGGCAAAACATGAGTTGCTAACAATTGCACATAGGGAGCAGGAGAATTATAATAATAATTATATAAATGCCATTTCTAAATAGTTTAGTAGTTGTATGACTTCAAATGATTTTTAGGAGAAGAATTTCATAAGACATGTCTTTCATTCTAATCCTGTTTTTTTAAGAATATTTGAATTGCATCTGTATATTGTGAATTATAACATGTATATATATTCTGAGAAATAAAATATGTTTAAACTAACTAACTAAATGATTTATATCAGGGCTATGTTTATTAATGTTAATTATCACTTATCACTTGATGTTTACAATGTTCTATGAAATTTGTTCGTTTTTGTAAAATCAATGACAACGTCACGTTAGAGACATAATCTAATCTGAATTGTATTTTACAAAAGAAATGACAAGCTTTGACATAGCTTTACAAGGTTACTATTATATATGTGAATAAATGTAAGAGTTAACGTATTTCTAAAGAACAAAATGCACTTTACTCCAAAGGGCAAACGAAAATTTAATTAAGTACATCTCTCTTTAATTTGTAAACTATTGGAACTTTCGAAAAAAAACCCCTGCCAGTGCAATATCATTTTATAAAAGATGTTGTTGTGGAGAATAAAGTGTTCTGTCACAGAACTTTGCCTTTGAATTATTTATGGGCATGCATATTATCTAAATTTTGCCATTCCTGACAAGAAAATTTATTTTCAATATTTCAAAGATGTAGTTTATTTTATAATTACTTTTCCCTGTTATGTCTATAAGACAAGGACAACTGTTTACATTTATTTCTATTTTCCTTGTCCAAATGCCAATATACATGTATAACATATCTAACTTCGAGAGTAAAACGAGATACTTTGCGATGAAAACGTTAAGTGCTCTTCTTGTTTCAAGCCAGCGTTAAACACAATTGCGGTTAAAAATTCATGAATGACTGACAGAAGACTTTATAAACAATGAAAAAAATTGTAGAAATAACACAAATAAAACGATACTATAGAAGTTAACATGTTATACTTTATGTCTACACATGCTTTTGTTTGTTTTTAATTCAAGCAGATACATCTATAATTATTATTTTGAATAAATCTTTGACATGATTTGTTTTTAACTTAAAACAATTCATACACACTTAAATGTTTGTAGAAATAACATATATATTTGAACCTGAATCACCTTCCCCCTATTTTTTGCAGATAGTGTCGTTTCTCTGAAAGCAGTAGTGAATTACTTTTATTGAAAAATTGTTTTAATTATCTTTTTTATTTTCCTAAAAATGGCGACAAATAAGCTTATGTCATCATGATCATGAAGTTTACGTTACTACAGATGACATTTTCTTCTTTCCAGTCAGTGATTGTCGTATTTCAATATCACTTAACTCATATGACATATCATCCACCGACTTCCAAGCTAGAACTTTGTTTATACACTCATTACAACAAGCACAGTAGCAATTACAAATGGTTGGACCAAGTCTCATTGTCACAACAATGGGTAAAGATTTAATCGAAATAATAAAAGCAACAAAGAAAAATATATCAGGACAAAACAGTGCTTCGTTTTTGCACGATAAAATTGTCAAAAAGTACAGGAAATTTATTGCACAGTTTAACATGCAAATAGTTGATGTAATATTTGTGTGAGAAACGTCCAAATCAGATGCCCGCTTTGACGCGTACGAATTATAGCCAAATCCTCGAACGTATAAAATACATAGTCCTCCAAGAGACAAACAGTATGGGAGAATGAATACTGTGCTGGCATAAAATCCTGTCCAGATACTGACATGGTGACTTGGAGATGTTATATCTGCCGTGCAAATACCCATGTCTGGAAAACAAAATGTTTGAACAAATATATTAATGATTCAGTATAAAATATTAAAGGGTATTTTAATATTATGTTATCCGAGTCTCTAAGCGAGGGTTATATGTAATAGACAACTGTTAATACAAAACTGAATGACATGCATCTCATATATTACTTAATAAACAAAATACTTTATACATAACGCATGGAATCTAATACGTTACCTTGAACAGGAAGATGTTTCTGAACATAGTTCTGAAATTCCGGCATCTCAATATGTGCTGTTAATGCTGTGTCACTTATATTTAATGTACTTGCAATGTCTTCAATAAATGACAAATCTGTTATATTCTGAGTGAAAAATTGACCATTCAAATGTTCCATGAACGTTTCTAAAGACTTCTTTGATGTTGCTCTGATACTGAATAAAATTCCATGGGGTAACCATTCCGCCTTGCCGACAATGATATCAAAGTGCTGGTGTATATGACGCGAAATTAATGACAGCATATCCGTTCTAGGGGAGCTGTAAGATGAGTGTCTAAGATGGCTGAATAGTTCGTGAAGATTCTGAAGTTTTAAAGCATCCGTGTGCTCCTTGTGACTTACAGGCAAAGGTAAGGATATATTTGAAAATACAAATACATTCAGATACCCTGAAATATATCACTGAACATTATAAATATTGGACATTATAAATACTTGTCTAAATGAATAATTATAATAGTCATTTCATAATGCGTAATTTTAGTTATTAATATGAAAAACATGAATTTACAAGTTTTCAATGTATCGTTATTTAGCTTTGTCCATTTATTTATTTTTTATATATTGTTTTCTTTATGTTTTGAAAATCTAATAAATAACTGGTTTCATAGTTTGAGTAGATTGTCACATAATTCATTGTCTTTGTCAGATATATTTCTCACTTATTTGCTTTCACAGCTCTCCCGGGATCGTTTTACTTCTCAATCAATAGTATTTCTCTTAATGTTGACATAAATAGTAAATGATATGTGCCTGTTTTAAAGTTCTGCAAAATAACAAAATGTACCTCTAAGATAAGTATATTCTCCGAATCCATAGAACGGTCCGGTGACTGCCATCATGACAAGGAACAACATTCCTACTGCCATTATTTGTGTATTTCTTTGTGAAAATGCTGATGGAACTTCTGATGGAGACAAAATAGCTAGATATCTGTAATTGAAAGTAGTTATACCTAAATCTTAAATTTAAAAGAAATAAATATAACATGTACAGTGATATTGCAAACATAGCAACCATGTAGGGGGTCAATCAAATCTTACCGGCAACTTTTTCCAATAATGTTTTAAAGTTTCAATTTATATTTAAGTATATTTATATAATATCATTTTTGATAACTAAATATGGTTGATTCTTTTACATGATGATTTAAAATAGAGATTTTGGTGCTTGTAAACGATGAAACGGTTTACTTAATAAGAAGATGTGTTCAACTGTTGGCTAGTGGTAAGAGTGTCTGCCTCTCAACCCTGGACTCATGGGTTCGAGCATTTGACTACAGAACCGGTAATTTCCAAGAAGCGAACTCGAAATAATATATAAATATAGGTTTTAAGAACTTGTTTCGCAATCGAGCTTAAATAAATATGCTTACACTTTGAAAAGAAAAGTGTTGTTTTTGTGAGGTGCAAGGGGGATAGAAGTAGTGCATATATAGTTTTATCTTGTAAATAAAGTTGTTAAAAAGTGTAACAGCAACAATAATATTTCATTGCACATGTATAAGATACCTTTCTATTACTGCTAATGTTATCATCCATGCCGTAAAAGCCAGCATCGTGGTGGATGCAAAGCCCCAATTTTCACATGCACCAAATCCAAGCGGCCATTCACCTTCAATTAAAGTTTAATAAATTTAAATAATTATGTCATAATAAAAATATCACACATATTAAATAGCAATGTGAAAATCTTAAAATGATATCATCCTTCTATCTATTCGTAGTATTTCAGGAAAGGCAAATTTATTCCTCGGGTTAAAATAATTTCCAAGATAATCGTTTTTGTGTATTTTTGAGCAAAGTATGTATTCCTTTGAATGTGTAATCAAAATGGATTTTTACTATTATATCGTGCGATTTACTAAATTATCATTAGAAGTTTTAAAAGCATTTGTCTTTCCAAGTGAACAACATTATATTTTTGCAATTGCAAATTTGAATATAGTAATGAATTCTTAGAACGTTTAATTAAATTTCTTCATTTTGTATTTTATTATTATAAAAATGTCCCTATCTAAATTAATGAGATCTTGATTTATTTAGAGGAACAATGTTGCATTGCCATGAAATCAACTTGAGAAGCACTTAAGAATTAGTGGCATAAATAAATACATACAGACGATTCAGAGGAATCAATTTCTTTCGACATAATAGCTGTCTGATAATGTAATCATTTGATAAAACAAAAGCTTTTGATAAGAGTTTTGTACAATGTTACAATTATGCTAATCGTTTAAGTTCGTCGTGTGTTTTACAAATATCTTGCAAAGTATATAATTTCCCCTTGCATTGCAGACTTAAAAAGCATAGGAATAACAACATGATGTAAGTTTTTGTATAAACATCTGGAAAAATGTAATTCACAAAAACATTTATCACGACAAGATCACACTAAAATTGCAGACTCGGTTTTATTGGGGTTAATGAAAAAGTGCAACATCCCTCACTCCCGTTAGCATCGGCTATAGAAGTACTGGATTTATTAATATATTTGAACTATATTGACAACTGGATTTATATTATGATATTTATCAAAATAGTTTGCATTAATAAAAATTGAAATGAATAGAATAATAAATTAAATCAAAGTCTTAAAAAGTTACCTTAATGGTTATCACAATGAACTGTATTCAAGAAATATATATATATGTTTTTGCTTCATTTAATTGACTATTAAAGCACACGAACTGTTACAATAATCTATACAAATGGAGATAATAATAATGCGGACAGCAATTTTGACCAAGCCTATGACTAAATCATGAACTGATACGAAATATAAACTGAGATTCTTAGACAAATGCCTGTACTTAAAATAGATAAAAATGATGTACAAAAATCCCGGTCGGTCTCACTAATTACTTTTCTCATATCTATTTATAAACATAATGTTTCCTGTGTATCAAACCTATGATTATATGTTTCCGGATATAAGCATCTTAAATTCAATGTTATTTCGAAGTAATCAAAGGTTCTAATGGACTGCGGCTGCATATATGTCTTATTTTATATTCTGAATCAATGCAAAACCCAACCCTTTACCGCTTAGTTTTTTTTTGAATGAATATAATTGTTTTGAATTTAGAACTGTCAATTTTAATTACTAAAGGATTGCAAAACAAAAGTCTTAACTTGTGAAATTAGTATTTCACAGTCTGTTCTTCTGATATTTAGACTGGCCTTAATTTATGATACATGTAGCACAGGCTTATACATGAAAAATATCATTTCTATTCAGATGAAATGTTTACATTTTTGTTAAATTTTAAGCTCTAAACAGAACAATTACTCTTTTATGATAAGATATAAATCAGACGATGCTAAATCCAAATCTGTAACATATTTATTTTTTACTCTTTTAACATTCATTGACTAGTATTGAAATGTGATATAAATGTTGTTATAACGATAAGTATAAAGATAAGTTGTTTTGTTTTTTTTCGTTACTAAAAGTTTAAGTTTAACTCCTGTAAAGCTACTTTTAACGTTTTCTTACAGTTACAGTTATTTAAATTGGAATGTCAAACGTTTCTTCATACCTTACTCATACGACACAAACATGTCTTAGAGAAAATTTGTTTTGTAGTAAAACAAGAGGTTGATTGACTGAACTCGATTACATGGAGGAAGATGGCATTTTTTTTAAACAAAAACACATATTTAACAAAGTATTTTTATAAGTTCACAAGAGTATGCTACAGGGTTACTACCTAATCTCTTGGCAATGCGATTTTGGACGAGGAGATTCAAATGCGCTTATGTAACCGAAGTAACCCATGTAGCAGTGTCATTTATCACTATGTTTTTTATAATAACAAACTTTCAACTTTTGTATAGGACCAAAGATTAGCATACATATAAAACATTTAAGAGTACTTATTTATTTATTCAAAAGATTAATGTTTGTGAAGGAGTTAATCTTCGTCTCTGCAAAACAATATCTATTCCTCAAAACATCTGGATGCGTTGACAAAATACACGAGTTGAAAAGGTTCTTAACGATTCAACTATCAGTTTATGTACTGAAAGTATATCCTACGACACTTCACGTAATGCCAGAACATTTATTCCTGAAAAGTCCTCAATAAAATAGTTTGTTTTGATCGTATCGTTCATTTACAGATGGTATAAATAAGTTTAAATTTCCCCTATATCTAAGTTGACATATTGATCAGAGTTGTTAAAACAGCATTGTCTTGATATTCTTGCTAATTTTCATGATTTTTTAAAGTAAAATCTTGTGAAGTGAATAAAGATAGAAACTTACATATCACACTTACAATCACCAAAAATTATCAAAACGAGGTCATAATATTTATGCAAACATACCTTTCTGCGTTAGTCTTGCAGTAGAAGTATTGTAAATTATTACTTGAATCTTGAATCTTTTTACTTTTCTTAAAATCTTAGTACATTTTTCTTCAGTTTGATTTTCTTGAAATATTTAGGCAAATCTGTTGGCATGCAACTTTAAACGAACCAGATGTTATGTCATTATACACTTCAAATATATTATCTTCATTTCTCAACACCCAATATCCTTGGCAAGCAGCAATAGCACGTTCATTTTCTAATTTCTAATCCTGCAAACGTAATAATTTATAAAATACTTTTCTTTATTGATATCGATTTACATATCTAAAGCCTAAAGTTTTCATGTATTTTTCAAGTAATTGGCTTGTTAATCTAGAAAACATGTTTGAAAGTTTCTATTTTAGAATTTTCAAAACTCCTAGGATTTTGTCCTGTATTATGTTAATTCAATTGTGGTAAGGCACATTAAATATCAATTAAAAAGAACGTATTAATTGTGTCATTCAACAAATTTTATCGGTTGCTATGTAATTGGATATAGGCAGATATCAAACGAAGACAATTTTCAGTCTTCAACACCAAAAAGAGTGAGTGATTTCTGCCAAAATATAGTAGTACTGTGATGATCGTCTTTACCGATAACAGGCATTCAAATATTGTTTAATTTTAAGGTGTATACTTTCCTTAAAAAGGGTTATCAATGCAAAAAAAAAAAAATTATAAAAATAAAAATAAATTAAATAAATAAATGAAAAAAAAAACACCATTAACAATAGACAAGTAATAAGGGCTACTTGCAGAATCTGTAAGTTTATTTATAACAGAACATTGATACTGCCTTACATGTTTGGCACGAAATAAAAGCGTTTTTGTCCATATTAGCAAGGACACTTATTTATATATATCATAACAAGAAACATATTTAAGTGTCTAAATTGAAAGAATGTTGTTTTTTAGTTTAAGTGTCATCGGCCTACCAAATGACTCGTCGCTAGTTGAACTAAAGGTAGAAATAGAACAATTTGTAAAGGGCTGTTTAATAAACGCGTGCTTCATAATAAAGACAGTATGTTGTTTTTTACTCCTTTTACAGCAAGGGTACAAAAACAAGCTTTTTGTAAATGTGCCAGTTAAACACCATTTCAAGATTAAAAGACTTCCCTACCTCAACAATAAAATTATCATGATAAATTAGGATAAAAATATTTTGACTTACATTTTCCGAGACGACCTCTTTTATTGGTTAAAAGTATATTCTATGAGTAACACATGATATAATTAATAGATTATATTTCTCTGCTTGACGTTGTAAACTTTATATGTTTCTAATAACTTTGTTTATTTGGAGACGATAAAGTTCTTGATGATTTGGAAAAGATTTACAAAAATACCTTTGCTATTAATAATTATTATTGTCTGAAAAGTCCATTCTATAAAAGGTCCAATCATCGGAATCGATTTTTTATGTTTTTTTTTATTTTTACCATTGGTCACATTACAAAATTAAGCTTATGTTATGGTGTTGCAACCATTTAAAGGTAATGTTTATAATGTTTATAAATGCTCCAATCATTTATTTAATAGAAACGGCATTGTATATTAGAAATAGAGAAAGTAAATTGTGGTGTACAATACTTGCTTATTACTTTCTATTAAGCAACATTGATTAAAAATTGGATACACTTTTCAAATAGAATTTCCTTTTTTGAAGACGCAATGCTCTTGAAACGATTTCCCGCTGATGTTTTAAAATGACATTTCATACTTGGATCTTGGAACTGTCAGGAACATACTTTGGATTTGCACGATAAAGCAATGATATTTCACAGCAAGACAGAATAGTGTCTCTTTTGTTTAAGTGGCAGTTTGTATAATTCTTTTCAGGTCATGTACGCTCGTATTTATATGTAGAGTAAATGATTTTTACTGATTGCAATTGGAATTATTTTGTTATTTTTTGTCTGACAACGCAGAAATAACAAAAGGTTAAGACTACAAAACAACGTATCTTGAGATAAAATTATTAACTGAGAATTAATCTTTATGTTAAGATACTTTTTAATATATATTAATATCAGGGTTAATGCAATGTTTCAAATTGACATTTCCTTAGAATGTTTGAATATGAATGAAACATTTATAGATTATTGATACACAGCCGTAAATTGCATTTGTAAAATGGGCAGCTGAAGGTAAACATCAATACATTTGATAACTCATTGACATTCAATAAGTGAGAGAAACTCGATGTAATTTCTCAAAATGGTCTTTTTAGTGATGAAGGTTAGTTTTCTTGTATGTTAAAAGTTTTTATTTCAAAGCGTATAAACGGATTTACAATTTCATTAACACGCATTTTGCGAAAAGTGCTGACATTTTGTTAGCTGTTTTGAAATTGAAATGTTAAACGCACGCGACTTTGAGCAAAAAAAAAAACATGGGGCAATATTTAAAATTGATGTGAAATTAAGATATTAAAAATGACTTGTAGTTTATATTTTATACTTTGACATTAAAATTGAACGAATAATCATTAACTTACCAGACGCCGCAGACAACAGTAAATTGAACAAGCCCATGGTATCGCTCACTAATGCAGATATGAATAAATATTTGACGATTTGTTTGAAACTTGGATCCATGCTTTCAAGCCTCTGTAGTCTAGAAAAGATATTTATCGCTCCAATTAGGAGCAGGACAATGGTTACAACCAGTCCCAAACACTTGAGTATCCCTATAAAATCCATTTTCCTGATAGCTTAAAGCATGAGCATCACAATATTTCAAAATAATTAAACAAATAATCAAAAGTAATTAAAAACGTTTTCCCACTACATTGTTTAAATCTTGTTTGACATTTATTCATGATTAGTCGGACTAAGTTTTAATACATAAACATATCACAAAACACAAGAATCGTGTTAAAATATTTCTATTCCTTGTTTAATATTTATTTTCACATTTCCGGGTTTTATTTTTGCTCTACTGGCATGCGAGCAGTTCCCGTACAAAAATCGTAGTTACTTAAACATTATTTTTTATTACGCTCACTCACCAAAATTTGAATGTTACACATCAATATTCAGCTCGTCACACAAATCATGGAAATTCCATCATGTTCTAAACATAGAATAACCCTTAGTTATGAGGCCTCATATGGGGTACCGAAATTATCAATTATTTTGTATGAAGAGAAGTAGTTCCCGTACATAAAATCTAACCCATTATAATTATACAATTTTATTATATCGGACCTATTTTTCATTTACAATTGTTGAACAGACCATTATCTAAAAGATAAATAGATGTAATTCAGGAAATAGAGCGTAGACTAAACGCGGGTATCTATTACCCGGTACCGTTACCCCAACGCATTTACAGGCAATAGCATGCTTGTATGCATGATATTTTACGCATCAAAGCCATAAAATTATTATATATAGTAATATTGGTCAACATTCTGCTAATTAAACAAGTTTTCATCACATTGCCTACTTATTTGTAAACAGGTGGTATTAGTGGAAAACCCTTTAACAAGCCTCACGTGTAAGTATTTTTGCGCATGCGCGCAAGGACGGAATCCCCCAGAGAAAACAAGATCACGTTTTGACGACGCACAGGTGAAAGTGATTTAAAATGAGACTTTATATACGTACTGCCGAACTGACACTTAGATTTTGTCTCGTTTATGTATCTGCTTGATTTGAAATGAATTTTTGATGAATTTCAAGTAAAAATCAAGCGTTTAAATGAAAAATACGGGTACTGCTTCTGTACGGGAACTGCTCGCATGCCAGTAAAGTATTTCTTACTGGTCAGTTAAAATGATTTCCTTTTCTGCTATATTTAAGTAGTTTTCTTTATTCCGAACTAAGCAACTGAGCGATTACCAATGTTTTTCTGCTCAAACCGTGAAAGGTGTGAAATCCCGCTGTAACAATTTCCAATACAACTCTCCGATGAAGAATCACACTGCACGTCTCCGAACAAATGCATTGACTTTAATACTCATTGGAAAAATAAAAAAAAATGTTTAACCAACAGAAACCATTAATCAATCTGCTGAAAGATTTGAAAAGAGAATAAAATGTAAAAAAAAAACAATCTTGTTGCGCTTAAATGGTAACATTTGCGATATGTTTTTAAGAGAGAAAGCTAATTACAAAATTCACACATATACAGCAATTGATTCCATTCATAATCAAAGTCATAGAAATCTTGCGGAATAAATAACACAAAAAAATGAAATTTTATTGCGTGATATAATTGGTTAACATATGGTGTCTTTAAGCTAGTCAGCTAGGCAGCAATAAAAATTTCTCTCAAAAAATGCATAATTATATTTTGACACACACTCTCTTCTCCACAAAATATACAAATGATAGAAAGAAAATATGCGGAAGCGTATGAAATAATGCGCCAAATAATTATTTACTTATTATGAATATATGTAATTATGTATTCTTGCTTTGCTTTCCAGGATTCTCCAAATTGTAGAAAGGACTGAAAATAATGACAGGCAATGTTTTGTCATTTTATTTGAAGTCACGGGCTGGTTTCAGAGCAGAACATGATTTAAAGAAAATGACTTTGCGTTCGTCATATGTCGAAAGTACGCCTATTGGACAAATGCAACCGACACATTTAACTAATTTTTTAATTAAACGACTTAATAACGATAAACTTACACACAATTTAATTTTTAACATCGACGTCATTAAACCAATCTAATGTCGGCTATAATTCTGGCAAAATTGTGCTTGTTGAAATATTGGAATATAAATGAAAAAGTTTATTGTTTGACTCTTTTTATGGTACTGTAAATTCCTTATTACAATGTTCCACTGTGCAATGAGATGGGAGAATCGCATTATTTTCCATCTTGTTTTAAATTATTACTTGAAATCAGATTTAAGAAATTTCAATGATGCTTTTCCTGTAAGGAAAAATGAAGTACCCATAACTCATGATGTCATTAAAAATGTTATCGCCTGTCTACACAGAGTTTGCATGACCGTTTAGTACTGAAATCGGATATTTAACTGATAAATGTGATAGAAACTCTATAAGTTCTGGTCTGTCGACATCAATAGAGTGATTTCTACAACAAGAATATCATATATGACATTGCCTATGAATTTAGAAGAGTTTTTATGTTTTCACTTTGTGAAGGTTTAACCTATAAATTTACCAACTTTGTTTCAATTTTTTCTGTTCTATCAAAATAATTGAAGATAGAACACGAAAACAAATTTCAACTTTCTTTACGTTAAATTAAATAATATTCAATACATGTTGTTTTGGTTTGTTTTGTTTTTGTTTTTATAATTTTATAATATTATAGAAAAAGGTGAAAATGACCATAATTTGCTGGTCTAGATACTAATATGTTTCTAGAAAAATGTTGTCCATAAAATTATTTTCAAATCATTTACCTTTATTGACAGTGAATGTGTCAATTCGTCATAAAGACAAATTGTTTAATAAAAGTTTCCGAGTTTCATTTTGAGCAAATTTGAGGAAACTAAAATCACCATTTATAAATGTTTTAAGAAAGATTTAACAAGTGGTTAAGTTATCAAACATATTGGTCCCTTTAAAACTTTTGACAAACACTTACTAGCATAACATTTGTCCAATTAGTTACTAGTAAATTGAAGCGTGTAAGTATTTTGTATTGAAGTTAAAATACCACTATGTTTATATTTTGCTACATGTATTTGCTACCAGCAGCACTACTTTATCAAGGCGATACGCACCAAACGTGCTCTTAGTACACTCATACAACATTATAAAATAAAACAAATGTTGGGGATCTCTAAAGAAATAATTTTTTATCACTTTTGATGTGCCTTAAGATAGGTCATTCATTTGAAAACAAGATGTTAAGCCTATTGAGCTTGCACGTTCACATTGATTGGGCAATCATTTAAATGTATAATAATAATATGAATTTCATATCTTATGTCCTGTTAATGTATCCTGGCAAACGTACAGAATTGATTAAAATATGTATATCATTTTAAAATATATACTATTGTGAGTCGACTGTTTTGTCTGGGACTTAAAATGACATCGTAAATCTATGGTCTTAACTTGCCGGTTTCTTTTTTTTTGTGGTTTTATTCATAATATAAGTCTTCATTGAGTACATATATTTCAATTCAATAGGAAAATTATAAATGCGTTCCAGAATAAAAAAGGAAATTCCAGATGTCCTTTTTCCGGGGGTCGACCATAAGGCACTTTTTCATCATAAAATTTACATGCAGAGAGAGATACAAAGTGAGAATAATTCCCCTATCTTTTAAACCTCAGACGAAACGCATTGTATCTGTCCGTTCTGCGAATAATATTCCACTATCTTTTTATAGGGGTTTATTTTATAAGGATAATTTTGTAAATCGCTGTTCGGAGTTATTTGGTCAATATGCATAGAAGAATATTGTTCATACTTTAAAATGGGTCCTGTTGCTGGGTCGTATGGGGTTGCGTTCATTGAACGCCGCCTTTTCTTGTTGAACTTGTTTATCATATTTTAGTATTACTGTCATTTTTGCCGATCATTCTACGGAATCGCAAATGGTGTAATACTGATTAACGAAATGAATAAACATGATATTTTTCCTCCATATTCCTCATGCGTTGGTATAATCTCTGCTTATAATTATTATTTGTGTAGATGAAAATGTGTTCGTGATATATGGGTTTACCCCCGTTTATATGAAGATGATATGATCAATGAAAAATGGAGGGTCATAAAATAACGCAAACATTTGTTTTTGTTTTCTTTGTTTTTTGTGACAATTAGTTTCTTTATTTAACATTTTCAATCATACATCATGTTGTTAAAATGAAAATATGTAGTTAATAAACAACAAAAATAAAACTAAAAATGTTAAAAAATTTCTACAACTGATATTAAAATAATAAATAATGAGCTAGTAATACCTTATTATTGCCAACAAATCCATTTAACCAACTATCTTTATGAAAAAAATATATATCCATTACCTACAATGTAATCATTTTATTTATTTACATTAGTTATCAACTTAAAAAAACTAGTGCAAAAATATAATATTTAAAGAGAAAAATGAATAACAATAATAACAAAAATAGAAATAATAATAATAACAATAATAATAATAATAATAATAATAAACTTCAACTGATTTTTCTCATTCTTTTTTTATTTGCCCGGGTGATATTGAAATGAGAAAAGTTAATGTCAGTTATTTTAAGTATAAAATCATACTAAAAGTAACTGACATTTACTATTTTTCTCATTTAACTTATATGCCTAGAAGTCTTCATGAACATATCAGATAAAAAAATTGTGCTTTACCAATATAATATAACTGTTACATATACCGGGATGTGAAATTACCCATTACTTCAGTATGGGCATAGGAAAGTTGTTTGAAGTGGCAAATAAGTGAAAGATAAGCATCTTTGCTTTCTTACAAGGTACTTTACTCGTATAGCATTTAATGATAGGAAGATTTTACTTTTACTTTTCTTTTTTTATAACTGATAAATAAACAAATAAATAAATAAAGGGATGAAAAAATAAGCAAATAAATAAATAAACAAATAAATAAATTTATGAATGAATAAATAAATATATATATAATTCATTGATTTAATATAAGTTGATGGAAAAGTGATAAAAACATAAAATGGTAAAATATTATAAAAATGCGGTATATTATTATCATTTATATATGCAATGATGTGATTAATTGCTGTCATGAAAATCTATTGTTTGTATGCTGAGTAAATAGCTTAATTATATGTTCAGAGAGAATACAA